AGGGCTTTTGCTTGAAAGCCCGCAAAACGGGGTGCACTCATTCCTGGACCGCTGAGAAAAGTCCGTGCATATGCGTTTCTTTCTTAGAAAGCAGTAATTTTTAAGGCGGCCGTTCTTGCAGGACAATGCGTCTGCACTGGAGAAGTAGTTGTAACGAGCGTTGAACGTGACTCTCAGTGGCAGCATCACAAAGAATCCACTGAGCTTATTGTTGTCCATGTTTCTGCAAGGATTTGGGAGAAGGGGGCCGATGACATAGAAGGTGATCTGCTTCCCCTTGCCATGTGAACACAAGATGCTCTACCTCCCTTCACGATGTGAACAGAATTTGCTTTGAGAGAGATGAATGAGTGGAGGCACTTACAGGGTGCGGAGAGCCTTCATGGAAGACATTTTAGGCATGGCCCCTGAGAAACGGTTGTAACTCAAATCCCAGTTGTGCCAATCATCCATGAGCACGCATTGCATTGGCACGAAAGCATGCGCATTCATCGTGGTTTATACATCTTGTTATGCCATACACGTCTTTTCTGCATTTGAAAGTGTATGCTAGAAACCATAACACATGGCACATGCTTCTGAGTCTTGGCCATCTGCCACCCTATCTATCCTTTCTTCCTCCTCCTCAACTCCAGAACCTTCAATACAACAAAATACTAGCGTTTAAGATGCGTTGACAAGACAAATAGGCTCTAGGAGGCGAACTGCTCTAACATGATACTGGTAGTCTGGGGATCAGACAGTGCTTGAGGATATGAGGCACGCACGAATACCTCTAGACAATTCATCGTGAGGCAGATAAATGGCCTCACAATACAGCCGCTATTCCATCGTGTTAAAATCCCACGCAAATGCACGACGAACAAGCAAGCATACCATGTTGCGACTCACAGGCTTTTGAGTTTCTTCAGCAACCCGATAGAGGAAGGCAACTTCCCTGACATACGATTGCTCTGCACGGCCCTGTGGGGAGAAGAACCAGTTTGGAACCGCGGTGCCGCACACCATGAGGGGAAGTTGGCCTGGCTAGAAGCTTAGACTTCAGCATTATGCAACAAGCATTGACCTACAGTGCTGGAAGCATGGACTTACAACGTTTCAAGCCTTTTTAAGTTCGACACGTAGTCAGGAATGGGCCCCGTGAAGCTGTTCCCCACAAAGACACTGTCACGCAGAGGCGGCGGGATAAACGAATAGGATGGTTTGAACCCAACATGCACTAAGAGGTGCCAAGACTAGATTGATGGATGAAGCACGCGGAGAGCACTGAAGCGTCTTTAAGTCGTAACGTGGCGTGAGTGCATGAGATTGGAAAGAACACCAGAGGTTGGCTCATAAAGCCGCTTTTCTATCGGGATTTTTATGGGGATTTTTATACACATGGGGATTTTTATACTGTCTATGGTTGGGCTGGAAGCACAAGTCTGAGGCGGAACTCCTGCCAATAGCCAAATCCATGGAATAACGGTGGGCAGGCACAGCACTCAGCAGTTTCAGTGTCTCAGGTATTGAGATAACTCTCTATAGAACATCTAACAGGAAAAGATATCAAACCATGAATGAAGAGCACTCACAGTGATGTAACACCCGTCATGTTAAAGACGCCTTCTGGGATGTCGCCTTTAAATGTGTTGGCACCAACATTCCTGTGCCAGCAAACAAGCCCATCATACACGGAGTACATGCCAGCTATTTCAACACAGTGTGTGTGATACACTAGCAACAATCACCATCAATCGTCAGACTAGTCCGTCAGCATTCTGCCCTCCAGCCCTCACTTCCTCCAGAGCGAGATCTGCCCTCCAATCTTTATCAGCTTTGCTTTTGAGTCGACTTGAAGTGAAAACTTCTCTCCTGTCTTGATCAGTTGCACTCACACCATCTGCAGTTGTCGTAGTGCTGAGATCGACTTGGGAAGTTCACCCGTGAACGAGTTGTTATGCAAATCACTGGAAAGATCTCACATGCATAGGAACAGAATTGAATTGAAGGACTGTTGTATAGTCAAATGGAGGCTGCACATGTGCTATTGGATTAAAAAACTGCTGAGAGGAGACTAATCAACTGCATGTCTAGAGAAGAGGACCATCTCTAGAAAAGTGAGTGAGATGGCATATGCTGCTGGAAGCCTAAATCTAGAGAAGTGAGTGAAAGAAGTAGAAATCGAGTTTAGGGTTTAGGACACACGGTAGAAAATATGGGGCCAGAAACTCAGAAGCAGACGCGTGCAGCCATCTCAAGAGGGCGGTAAAAATGGATGATACATAAAAGAGGGAGATAAGGAGCAGCGTGACCTCAATCTAGCATTGAGGTCATTGGAACTTTGACATCCGTTCTGGGATAACCCGCTTTTCCCTCACCATTCAACCAGATTGGTTAGCTGTCCAATTGTCGTTGGAAGGGAGCCGCGGAAACGGTTTCCGTTAAGGTTCCTGGAGCAGACGGTCAAGGTTTGTAGAGCAGAGAATCGGGACAAGGTCAAACAAAGGGCAATTTGCAGATAAATTGGGTGCAAATGAAAGTACAGCACATTACAGTGGATGTAACATGGTAGATGGCAGATGGATATCAGATGGTGGAGTGGATGTGCATGTGGTGCATACAGCACAACCAGATGGGTGTGCAGGCAGATAGGTGTGCAGCTATTGGGTGTGCACTTACAATGTGGTCAGATAGATAAGATTTCCAATCAGCGCTGGTATGCTTCCCGCAAGTCGCAATCCAGTCACGCTCCTGTATCAATTGACAGCATAGGGGGGGAAGCACGCAGAATACATACAATTCAGAAGAACCCCATCTGTGCTCGTGTCTTGCTGATGAGTGAATAGCGGTTTTGCACATTCTTGTAACTTGCAACCCCAAATCTTTTGCCATGTGGATGGTCACACGCACATAAAAGCATGGTCACATGCATGCATGTGACATAACCACCTATCTAGCCTTACAACAACAGGAACACGTTTCCTTTGCATCAAACATCACGGACTGACAATGGGTTGCCGGCACTGCAAATCCCCTTACAGGCTGATGACGTGGTTGTCTACGTCACATTCAATGAATTCCATGTGTTCACAGTTGCTGTCGCTCCTCCAAGTGAGGTGTCCACTAAACCCCCCCCAGGCCTTCGTTAGTGCTTCCAGTGCAGCCCCTGTGTGTTGAGGGAGGAAGACAAAGAGTAAGATACTGTAGGAGGAGGGGATATGAAACCCTCCCCAGGCTTCTGCTAGTGCTTCCAGTGCATCCCGTGTGTGTTGAGGCAGCAGGGAAGAATTGTTCAAACTCGTAAGGGAGGGGGGACAGTGCAGTTTTGCACCAGCTGCAGGGATTGCACTTAGAAACCACACGCCATTCCTTGATTGAGAATAGCCTCACAATCTGAATTCACGAGAATGCGGTCGCAGGTTTCAAGAGTGCCTCCCCTATTATAGTCTGACCCACATACATACGTGGCTGTGGCCTTGCCATCCCTTTTTTTCCAGAAGCAGTAGCCGCGGCCGTCACATGGGGGGGTTGTCAGGAGGGTTGAGGTCGCAAAAGGCATAGCAATTTTCAGTGGAGCGCTGGATGTGGGCGAGGTTGCAAGGAATGGCGTCGGAGGGGAAGCAGTTGTTGTGCAGGGAGAGCACCCGTGCTAATGAGTTGCACGTGACGGTGCTCAGACTGTCAGAATAGAGGTAGTTGCTTCTCACGTTCCTGCAGAACAGAAGAGAACGAAAGTGTGGAGGAGTGTACAGTTAATCTAATTAGGTTCAAAATTGTTTGCGGAATGGCGACTTTACTAGGTGAACTTCACACCTGATGTCATGCAGTGCCGTGCACCTATCTGTTC